GGCGGGTCTGTTGCGGGGGGTCCTCAGGCTGACTGGGCTGCTGCTGTTGCTTTGTTAACTTCCGTCCCCCAAGCTAGGCCACGAACTTGCTGCAAGACCTTGGGCAAACTATGGACACCTCGAAGCCTCCACGGCTTCATCTGTGGAATGGGAGGGATTGCGGCACCTTTAGGGCCTGGCTGCAGTTGGTGTCCTGGGACCCTACCCACCCCCATGCTCCCATCCGAGCGGGCCAAGATCCCCAGACCTGGTCTTGTGTCCCCCTTCCAGAATGTGGGGCCAGGCCTGCAATGGAGAAGCCCACCCGGGTCGTGGGCGGGTTCGGAGCTGCCTCCGGGGAGGTGCCCTGGCAGGTCAGCCTGAAGGAAGGGTCCCGGCACTTCTGTGGAGCGACTGTGGTGGGGGACCGCTGGCTGCTGTCTGCCGCCCACTGCTTCAACCAGTAAGGCCCGCCTCCTCCAGGAAGGCTGCCCGGTTTCCCCTCCTCACCAGCCCCTCCCTGTCAGAAACCATCCTGCTGGGGCTGCCTCATGGTGCCCCCCCCCACCCCTCGCCCCCCCCCAGGGGAGCAGCCCTTCCTCTCCTGAGGGCAGCTGAGAGACAGGAGGGAGCCGGTGCCAAGGCTTCTGAGGACAAACAAAAGGGGAGGGGGAGAGGGTTCCTTCCCCATTGCTTGCTACCCAGGCCGCATTTATCTTGGAGATTCCCAGGCACGGTGGCCCACATCTGTGGTCCCAGCTACTCAGGAGGGTGAGGCAGGAGAATTGCTTGAGCCCAGGAGGTCGAGGCTGCAGTGAGCCTGATGGTGCCACTGCACTCCATCTGGGGCAGCAGAGCGAGACCCTGTCTCAACAAAAAAAGAGAGAGACTCATAAAGCTGTAGGGGTTTGGGAGGGCTTCGGCACAGGTGTAGAAAATGAAGCTGAGGGTCCCCTGACTTGCCCAAGGTCCCCCAACTCGGGATCCTTTTCAGGAGGAGCCCGGCAGCCCCTCTTCCCCTGGTCCTCCCTGGAGCCGAGCGTCAGAGGAATGGTCCTGGGGCTCAGGCAGCCCCGTGCAGCTTCCCGGGGGGGGGGTGCATCAGCCCTGTCCGTCCCCCAAGAAGGCGGGCATGTGCTGGAGGGCGGGCACGTCTGAGGGCCCTGTCTCCACAGCACGAAGGTGGAGCAGGTTCGGGCACACCTGGGCACTGCGTCCCTTCTGGGCCTGGGCGGGAGCCCGGTGAAGATCGGGCTGCGGCGGGTGGTGCTGCACCCCCTCTACAATCCTGGCATCCTGGACTTCGACCTGGCTGTCCTGGAGCTGGCCAGCCCCCTGGCCTTCAACAAATACATCCAGCCTGTCTGCCTGCCCCTGGCCATCCAGAAGTTTCCTGTGGGCCGGAAGTGCATGATCTCCGGATGGGGAAATATGCAGGAAGGAAATGGTGAGTCCTGCCCCGATCGAGGGGAATGGTGGATTTATTCTCCAGGGCCTGGCCTGGGGAGGACCAGGATGGGCATCTCTTACCTGGACCTTAAACCAATTCCACGGCACAGGGACCTCTGTGGCTGATCTGCTTGTCTCTAGTCCCACTGCCTACACACCACTCACCTCCCCATTCCATCTGGGGGCAAAATCTGGCCGTTGCCTGTTTGTATAAATAAAGTTTTATTGGAACAAGGGCCACGTTCTCACATCAACAGACTGTCTATGGCTGCTTTCCTGCAATAGCAGCAGAGGCTGGGCGCGGTGGCTCACGTCTGTAATCCCAGCACTTTGGGAGGCTGAGGCGGGTGGATCACGAGGTCAGGAGATCAAGACCACGGTGAAACCCCGTCTCT